AGGTCATATGGATCTCTGAAGTTTTCAGATTGAGCATCTGAACACTTCAGGTCTAGCTGCTGAAGTTCGGATCATACATCTGAAACTTCAGTTCTTACATCTGAAGTACTTCGGTTCTCACATCCGAAGTACTTCGGTTCTCACATCCGAAGTACTTCGGTTCTCACATCTGAAGTACTTCAGATGTAAGAACTAAAGTTTCAGATGTATGATCCGAACTTCGGCAGCTAGACCTAAAGTGTTCAGATGCTCAGTCTGAAAACTTCAGAGATCCATATGACCTAAACTTCAGGTCCCACGCACGAGTTTTTTTTCTCCGTGTGGGGAAGAGAGTCCGGGAGGGGACACTTCCCCTCGAGTGAAATAGAAAAAGGCAGAATCCTTCGAAGTTTATATTAATGATTCTACTAACAGAGAGAAAAATTCAACGAAGTTCTCAAGAAATCACTTTAGATATTGTTTTCAGAAAAAAAAGAAAGAAAAATAAAATGACAAGGGTTTGCAACGCTGCGGACGGAGCTACTTGATTTCGCACTTTTGGCATTGATACACTCTTTATGAAGACATTGCAGCATTTTGAAATCAGTCAGTATCGACTCACAAACTCAATTCAGGATAATGAGAAGTGTTCGTTCAGAGTTTTATGCTAAAAAATAGATGTATTCATGCCCAAAAGAATGATTTACTAATTAATAAAAGTAAAGAGAAACTATAAAACACGAAAGTCCTATGTGCATAGTTCCTTTTGATTTGATATGTATGTGCATAGATCCTTTTAGTATATTAATACGCCCATACACTCTTAAGAGCGCATAAAACTTGCATGACTCCCACGAGATTAAGAAATGCCTCCTCCTGAGACCACATAAAGTAGTGATCCACGCATCCGCATGGAAAGTATTTTTGGAAGTAACGGAACAGGGCGTTTTAAATTCTACCACCGCATTACCAAAAAGAGCGGTTAACGCAAAAATGAATTTTGAAGAAAATGGACCTGTGGCAAGCGTCTGGGTGAAAATATTGAACGGTTCCTATATGATTTGCCAAATTCCCCAAAATCAGCCAAAAGACTTCTTAAGATTGTTCAAGTGATTGCAAATCAACGAATTTCATCCTCAACTACTTAAATAAAATGGACTGTCTTCATTTAATGAGAAGTAAGACTCCTGCTCATGCTCTGTTCTGCATATTTCCTTCTTTACGCTTTGGACACACAACGAGCACATTGAAATCGTTGTATTTTCAATACTTTCTAGGCTTTACGTGCATACGTTTTAATTTAGTGTATTTTCCTTGTTGTTTTGCTTCTCTCTTGTTTGCATTTTTCTTCTTTTTGGGGGCAATGAATTCAACTGAATATATCATCAGTTAAGTTTTCATTGTTTTATTATTAATTAATTAAATTTCTTTTTTCTTTTTCTTAGAAGGAAGAGGAATCAACAGAGACCACCGCTATTATTAGGACTATGTTTAGGTAAATATACTCTTTAGTGCCTAATTTAGACAATATAAAAATAATCTCACTTAAAAAGGCTCTAAAGCATACTTAGACGAGTTATCCTTATTGCGAGGTCACTTAATTAAAGTGTGAATCCATTCATCTGTTCAACCTGAAATGGAAAGAATGATCTAATAGATGGAAAATAAAATGGAATGAAAAGCAAAACGAAAAATCATGGTGCAATGGAAACAAGTTGGGAGTAGTTTTGAGCTTGACTAGCTGCACATTTTCTACCGTTAAATTTTCTGAGTCTATAGTAAATATGTTGAATGTGATCATGATCATTGAGCTCGATTCAACATTGGCTCTTGTGAAGAAATATACCCTTAAACCCATTTGTCCTGGTTCGATCTCGATGCAACTTAGGTTCCTTTAAGGACCGGATCCAGCAGGTTGCCAACACTGGCTTTCCTCCATTTAAACCTGCGTTGAAATATCGATTCTTGCCGCGGCACCTTGCCCCTCCGAGAATCGATTCATTCCCATCGGTTTAAATGGAGAGGAAACTATGCTGCCAATTCACTAGATCCGCCATTGGCTGCGTTTCTCTCATTCTGTTGAGTTCACCTTCAATAAGCGTGATGGCAATTTGAGCGACTTGAGAGCACGAATAGTTGCGCGCAGTGCTTTTGTCAATTTCGCTCTGTCCTCGCGACGGAAACACGTGGATTATTTTCCTTTCCCCTTGCTGGCCTATAGAGGTGGATCCAGCAAGTTCTCGACACCGGATTTCTTCCATTTGAATCTGTGTTGAATGATCAGTTCTCGTTGGAGCACCCGACAGTTCTGGCACTCCCCGAAAATCGATAAATTTCCATAGGTTTAAATGGAGAGAAAATAATCTTGCCAATACTTGCTCGATCCACCGATGACTCTTTTCTGTTAAACTCAGTCCAGGTTTTAGCGGGTTTGCTCAAGCCCTCGCGAGAAAGGGCAAAGAGAACGACTATCACTCACTCACTTATCCCGTTTTCATAGTGCACCTTAAAATTATCAAAACGTAAAAATTAATTAATTTCCATTTTAAAAAAAAAAAAAAAATTGTCCCTGGTAAAAATTGGCAGTAGGATCTGTGTTCCGAAATACTTTAGACCTACAACTTGTTGTAAGATTTCCTATAGCTTCTATAGCCGGTCATACAATTTCTTATAGCCTTTTATAGCCAATGGCGATAAAGCTACAGCTAGGCGATGAACTGCATAGCCCGGCGATAGGAACTATAACGCGGCCGTATAATTTTTCATCGCTTCGTATTGGTTGTATGATTTTCTTCGCTTTCTACAGGCAGACATATGATTTTCTATCGCCTTCTGTAGCCGGCTATAAGAATTCCTATGGTGTTTTGAAAGGCAGCTCCTATTGCCAATTTAAACAAGGGGTTGACTTCCTTCGATACTCACCTGTTTAATTTCGGCGATGAGGTCACTGTAAAGTCGACACACAGTTGCATATACTCGTCGAAATTTTTCTGTCGGTTTACCATCCGGCTTTATAATTTCTCGTCCAGAAAGAAAGTGTCTCCTTTTCTCATCCGAAAGCAATCCCCCGTCAATCCTCTTCTTCAAAAACAAGTGATGAAGTTTCAGTGATGTTTGAGGATACACAAGTCTCAAGCAGCAGAGGTGCACGGCAATGATCTCGTCTCTGCAAACTCGAGTGGAACACACGGAGGGTATGAGTCCTCCAAATTCAGGTGCGCCGAACATTTGAGGAATAAACTTATTTTCACCATAGACTCCATCCGACGTCAAGCCTATGAAATTCGGAAATAGGAACCGCAGCCGTGAATAGGTTAGTGAGTTCTTGTTAGTGCCTAATTCCTGGATACCATAATTTTTTTCGAGTTGTATAACTTCCTCAGGCTTTAAACCTTCGTTACTCCACGACACCAAGGTTTTCATCTCGTCGACGAAAGCTGTCGGAGATTGAACTGCGTTTCTGACCACTTTTTGACTCTTTCTCACACCGTCGGAGAATCTCTCAAGAAGCAATTCTAAGCTCCTTTCAGGATCAAAATTATTGTATTCAGCAATCAATCTTTCGTCATAAGTGTCGCATTCGTTTATTAGACCGCATTCATTCAGTGCAAGTCGAACCGCGGTAAGAAATGGATTCCCAGAACTGTGAGAGTGAGAGCCAGTATTCACGACATGTCTACAAGGACCAGGGTGAATTCTACCGTCATCCGAGTTAGCTGTACAATTCTTCGAATGAAATGGGGGCATACGAAGAGGGAGTGAGTCCCATAAACTTTGTGCTGACATGATGTGTGCAATTTACCTTTGCTATCGCTAGAATTTCAACTCAACACTTCGATCTGTCCTCTGTCAGCCTGTTAACAAGAGAAAAAGGAAATTAATTTTTAAATACGATTTCAAAAAGACGAGACCAAAGCAAAAATATTGTCTCTCTGACTTTAACACTAGGTCCTTCCAAAAATTGATACAAGACAGCATTCAAACTAAGGGGATAATTTTGTGACAATTCGGTTTATTGAGCTCGTCCAATGTTTCAAGAGATTATCTTACAAAGTTTGTCATCCATATACTTTTAATATTACTCTCTAAATATTTTTTATGCATAGGTATATTACCTTCGACGAAAAATTGATAGTTTTCAAATTTTTGAAATTTCTATTACGTGTTTTTCCCCCTGAATAATTTTACTCTTTTCCATTTACGATAGTAGGCCAACCATTCATATCCATCTGCAAGCCCGAATAAAACTGCTTGCATATATTTACGCATCCGCGATCATTATTTATGAGAAACAATTCCACGAGACTTAAGTGACGTAAAAACTGACACAAATAACCGACTCATTTGCATGATCGATAAGTCACTTTTCCAAATTATGACATTTTTTCTTTTTACTGATTTGTTTGCTTATTTGTTATTATATAATTAAAATTAGAGTTTGCGTTTCATCTTACACCTGAATCACACGGGGCAAAAATGGTACCGAATACTGCACACGCTGCGTTACATAATATTACCCACATTGCCATACGTAGGTTAAACGTCGCATAAAGATTCAGACGTTGCCAAATTTGTTATTATGAAACGAATTTTCTAGGTATCACAGGTATATATTTCTACTGGATTTTTTCACAGAATTCTGTTCAGGGAAAAAGAAAGGAAGAAGAAAAAAAATATAAATAAAAATTCATAAAAATAAAAAATCGTCGCATAAAAATTCAGACGTTGCCAAATTTGTAACGATGAAACGAATTTTCTAGGTATCACAAGTATATTTCTACAAGATTTTTTTTACAGAATTCTATTCAGGGAAGAAGGAAGGAAGGAAGAAAGAAAGAAGGTAGGGATGGAGGGAAGAAGAAGGATAGACGTTTATATTTGGTGATTATTAAGGACGAAATTGACACAGACTGATTATTAGATGCTTTAAAATATCGAACATTTTCTCGGGGAAGCCTCCGGACTCCCCTCCCGCCCCCCTGAGTTCGAAGTGTCCGGAACCGCATATAAAAACTTTCAAAGGAAAATACTGATAATATGTTTATAAAATAAATCTATTATGAAAAAGAAGTTACGACCTTCAACTACGGTGCACATGTGACATCATGAGTCATGCGGCTATTGAACAGGAATGTATTATTGCAACCCTGTAGAAAAATTACTGAGCCTACTTCTAATTATTTTGCATTCAAGCGCGCAGTGCGGAATGCGCCGGATGAAAAACTTAAATCCATACGAACCTCTGTGCTATTAAATGGAATCCAAAACTTAGGAGAGGCAGAAAATTAACGATTAATGATATAACTTCAGCGTAACCACTAATCTTTCCCAACAAAAAGAACACAACGCGGATGAATCACAACAATAAATCAGAGCGCAAACACAACCGTACGACACAACATATACCTCAATCAGGATTGTCTAAGTCTCCCGTGGTAGAGGAAAACAGGTATGGACATAGTATAGCTGCAGCAGATCATCATGGGGGAGAAACCTTAAGCTGTGACGTAACCGTGGAACCTCCTCTCACTAACACACTGACAGAACGCATGTACACAAACTGTTTGAGTCGTGTCGTCTCTTACGCACACAATTACAGAGCTCTTGTACACAAGCCTTCCCTACAGACCTGTGACGTATGTGTCAATCAGAGGCAAGTTGTTTTAATATCCTTACCTATATTTCGTTTTACCAGGGAGTCACCTTACAGCCCTGAGCGTGAGTTGGCAAAACCGAAATACAACACCCCCGGCTAGCGCTCGGAATGGACTCGCTCGTCATAGCCATGGCATTTGTCATCGTCATCACTTCGCGAGATGAAAATGCTGAGCGGAGCCGACGCAGAATCATGAGGAGTGAGTGGAGTGATACAATCTCTGGGGCACTTCATTTCCAACTAAGTCAATTTTAGTTTCCCACCTAAAAAAATTGGCCTCCGGCGATAGAGCCTTTAGGAACTTTAAAAAATGATACTAGCGGTACTTACTGCCAATTTTCAAAGAATTAAAGGCATGTTTTCAAAATTTTAAGTCGTATCAAAACAGTTCACTGCGTGAATTTAATTATGGCAATCCCTCCCCCCCTCTCGTTTCCCAAAATCACGTGACATGAATAGCAGAACCATAAATATGTTCCGGTCCTCCGTGCCCATTTAAATGAAGTTGAGCAAATTGATATTAAGATATGGCCGTAAATAGAAAGCAAGGACATAAGGACACCGCACGGATGAACACACACTTTTTCAAGTGCGGTTTTTTCGAATCCAGGCACCTTTAAACGCCGAAAAATTATGTAGTTTCATCCTTTATTTTCCTTCCGGGTTCCTCCCCCACCCGCAAGGAAATTGAGAAAGTAAAAAAATGTGCACATCTAAAGTGCAAACAAATATAGGCTCCCTTTCCATCCTTCTCCAAAGAGAAATCTATGGTCATGTATTAGTCTAGTCGCAAAGAATGTGTGCAGAGGTACTGAATTTTCAAGCACGCCTAATAGTCCAGGCAATTGGGCATCAAATAGGGGCTCTTGGGGAAAATTTCCCGGAAAACTTTTTGATGAGTGATTCCTATGTATTTTTAGACGCTGAATCCGAATTTTGCATTTGTGTAAAGATCTTTTCGCCGCTAAAGCCGCCATTTTGAAAAAATGGCCTAAAAATGGCCTAAAATCCCAATTTTTGAAAATATCTCGCTTATTTTTGATTTTTTGACCAAAGTAGTTATTTTCAAAAATAAACTACATAAAATTCTAAAGAAAACAAGTTCTTATCAATTTTTTGATATGACTGAAATTTAAGCCGCCAGAGCGCGCTGAAAAAACCGCCGAAATTCGAATTTCGCCAAACTTGCGCTTTTCTCGTGAATAACTTTTCTCGGGGTGACTCTACGTGAAAAATCTTAACTATTAAACTTATAGAGCAACAAATGTAATACTAGGAGTTGCTTTTTTTATTTTTCTTAATCCTGGACGCCACTGACAAGTTTTTGAAGTTGGACTGAAAAAAGCTGAACCGAGCATGGACAGGGCTCGCCAGTATCTGCGTAATTACTCTTCTGTGGACTTTTCTAGGGGACTTATTTACGAGTCAGATTGTAAAATTTCATTGGAAGGTGACCCCCCCCCCCCCCCCGAAGACCCCCTAATAATTAAATGTCACAAATTACCCCTCCCCCCCTCACTCTCGCAATTTCCGCTGTTGGCGCAATTCATTTTAGTGAAAGAAACGTGAATTCAATGATTTCATCGGTGATATTTCGAGTAACATTAATAATCCATCAGGTAATTTCTATAAGTTTTCATGAATAATTGCTCATTTTTGGACGGGAAGAGGGAAAATGGACGGAAAAAAGCTTACTTTAAAGTAGACGGAATGTATGTACATTTGCATAGTTTTTTCAAGTTGCAATAAAAACATTTCAGAGTTCTCTTAATTTTCACAAATCAAGCAAGTTTTGAAGAAATTGTACTGTGCATATACAAAGTTAAAAAATGCAAATCAAGTATCTACCGAATTATTCTCTACAGCGCATTGTAGATGGTCTTGGAATTTTCGTTAGATCAGTTTGTGGCACATCTGAGTTCTTGTTTTTTTGATTGGATGTTTCCGGATCAATACGTTGCACTGCTTTGCTTGAGCGCAGTACCCTTGTTGCTGGTTTTTCAATTTCCAGGTCTCTTTCGTCATATTCACTGTCTGTTTCAGATTTTTGATCAGTTGATGACGTAGATGAGCCAGATTCACAATCCTGATTATCATCTTAGAATGTCATAATTTCCGGTTCATCGGCGTCTCCTTCCTCTTCCTCTCCTTGTAGGGTATGTTCCATTTGAAAATTATCGGAGGATTGATTGCACATCTGACAGAGAATGGTGCATCGTAAGCCATTTTTACGGCACCCACAAGTCTTGCGGCAACCTTTCTTGCATTTGCAGGCAATTAGCTTTAAAATATTTTCGGGAGCTGGTGAATCCAAAGTTGTTATAGGCGTTAGCCCATTTTTGGTGGCTTTCCAGTCCCAATTGCAAGGATCGTTTTTCTCACCCTGCCACTCCTGAACCTGCAAATGAGTTCGGAATGCATGCTCTGCTGCAGCCTTCTCAGTTGGTGGCAAAGACCCAAGATTCTGTTTATTTTCAAAACTTGCTTGATTTGTGAAAATTAAGAGAACTCTGAAATGTTTTTATTGCAACTTGAAAAAACTATGCAAATGTACATACATTCCGTCTACTTTAAAGTAAGCTTTTTTCCGTCCATTTTCCCTCTTCCCGTCCAAAAATGAGCAATTATTCATGAAAACTTATAGAAATTACCTGATGGATTATTAATGTTACTCGAAATATCACCGATGAAATCATTGAATTCACGTTTCTTTCACTAAAATGAATTGCGCCAACGGCGGAAATTGCGAGAGTGAGGGGGGGAGGGGTAATTTGTGACATTTAATTATTAGGGGGTCTTCGGGGGGGGGGGGGGGGTCACCTTCCAATGAAATTTTACAATCTGACTCGTAAATAAGTCCCCTAGAAAAGTCCACAGAAGAGTAATTACGCAGATACTGGCGAGCCCTGTCCATGCTCGGTTCAGCTTTTTTCAGTCCAACTTCAAAAACTTGTCAGTGGCGTCCAGGATTAAGAAAAATAAAAAAAGCAACTCCTAGTATTACATTTGTTGCTCTATAAGTTTAATAGTTAAGATTTTTCACGTAGAGTCACCCCGAGAAAAGTTATTCACGAGAAAAGCGCAAGTTTGGCGAAATTCGAATTTCGGCGGTTTTTTCAGCGCGCTCTGGCGGCTTAAATTTCAGTCATATCAAAAAATTGATAAGAACTTGTTTTCTTTAGAATTTTATGTAGTTTATTTTTGAAAATAACTACTTTGGTCAAAAAATCAAAAATAAGCGAGATATTTTCAAAAATTGGGATTTTAGGCCATTTTTAGGCCATTTTTTCAAAATGGCGGCTTTAGCGGCGAAAAGATCTTTACACAAATGCGAAATTCGGATTCAGCGTCTAAAAATACATAGGAATCACTCATCAAAAAGTTTTCCGGGAAATTTTCCCCAAGAACTTCCCTATTGCCTGGACTATAATATGGAACCCTCAAGGACCCAAAAATTGGAATCCTGCATTCAGGTCAATCTCTTGTCATAAATCAGCATATACTATCACACGCGGAGGAAGGACCAGCATTCTGCATAGTGACAGGAACTCGCAATACTCAAAAAGTTATTTACATTCGTCACTCAGCTAAATATTCCATTAATTCCCCATTGAGAATGCCGAGGATCACACCTGTTATTGGAATGAAACGAAGCTCTAGACCGTAGGGGGACCGTAGGGTGGGACCGTGGGTAGGACCGTATGGGGGACTGTACTCAGTACTGTCACAGGTTTAGCAAGCCTGCGGACCCCAGCTGGTAGCCCCTGCCTTAAAGGGGGGTGAAGATGGTCACCGGCTTCATGGCGTATGAACCACTCATCAGAGGGGCAGACAGGGCTCATAGCTGTGGTGAAAGCAGCCTGTCTAGGAGACGGTACTCCAAAATCAAACCCTGGTCCTCCAGGTTGGGGGTTGGGGCATCGGGCTAACTCCCCGATACCCGGAAAAAACTTAATGTTAAAAAGCCTAATAAAGATAGCCTCGGTGATAATGGAAAAAAACGGATTTTGCGACACAAACTACGGAAAAGGACAATGGTTTTTGGGACATGGAATGTACAGGGCATTTCTAATAAATTGACAGAGGTTGTATCGGAGGTAAAAAAGTATAATGTAGATGTCGCCGTGTTAACAGAAACGAAAAAGAAAGGCACAGGATCAGAAAACTTAGGATGTTATGATCTGTTCTATAGTGGTGTCAGTAAAGATCAACGCGCACAGCAAGGAGTCGCCATACTTATCCGGAAAAGTTTGCGTCCGTCTATAACTACTTGGGAAGCAGTAGACCAGCGGATCATCAGAATGCATCTTACACTGCATGGTCACAAGGTGGCCCTGTTAGGAGTATATGGTGTGAATGATGATGCTCCCGTCAATCTAAAGGATCAGTTCTTTGAGCAACTCAACGACGAGGTTCTGAGGGTTGGAAGGACAAGGGAGGTCATTATCATGGGAGATTTGAATGGTAGAACCGGACGAAGGAATGGTTCTAAAGTTGTTGGACCTTTCGGTGAAGAGGCGATGAATGACAACGGTGCACGCATCATTGATATGTGTGAACAAAACGAGTTGAAAATACTGAACGGATTCTACCAACATCGAGATATCCATAAGTACACGTGGGTTCAGCAAACTCGGGGGCTGAAGTCAATCATCGACTACGCGGTCACCAGGCAAACGAGTACCATGAAGGTTCAACAAGTAAGAGTTTGCCGGGGGTTCTCCTGTGGTAGTGATCACCATTTTCTCAAGGCGGAGATTGCATT